TCTGTGTTAGGATTATAAACATATGTGGCATTGGTATTTTTGTTCTCAATTGATTTCCATCAATACTAGAGGATCTGGTCGTCATTAGTTAACATTGAAAAAGGTCAAAATTCGCATATTTACGTTTAAATCGTATTAATTCATGACTAAAACATCAAATTAGTTATGGAACGGATAATTATGATATACTAGGCCCGGGAATGTTAAGAGTATGCTTTATTCATAGAATATTATAAATGTTTAAAACATTTTTATATAATGCCAAAGAAATGCTGAAACCAAAATGTATACGTTTTCCAACCATACAAATCCTTTGAATAGTAAATTTTTGCAGATGAAAAAGACATGAGCAGAAGACAAAATGTACAGTAGCGTTTGAAAGCAAAATGCAATGAAAAGGGGAGAGAGAGAACGAAATGATTCGATCTAGACCTTATCGAATGAGTTATCTCAATCTGATAGACTGTAAAGAAATGCCATACAGCTCATGGGCTCAATCTGACCATTGTTCAATGAAAGCTTTCAAATTAGCAGAGTAGCAGACCCATCAATGGCTGCACTGCCCTCCGTTGAGTCGAAACACATGTTCCCCCTACAAATGGGGTAAAGTAGACAATAGTTAGGCAAGTAACTGACTCTTTTAGTGGTATTACATATTTTATTATGTTGATCATGTAGATATGATCGAGGCAATCTCAGTTGATGTTGAATTATTTTGTGTGGCACTTTATGCATCATAACATCATTGTAACGAAACTTTCTTCCAAGATGATTTTTTGTTCAGCGAATGTAAGTATTACTTTTTGCTTGTATATGTTCGGGTGGTACTGAAACATATTTTTATTATTGTGTAAACAACAACCACCAACTAAAACGTTCTAAAAAGTATGATCATTCTTATAAATATACACTATAATCAAAGTTTTACTAGATGTATACATGATTTTGGTTTTGTGACAAAAAGTATTTACTATATACTTTGATATTGTACATTTGTATTCCTCCTAAGGGGTTGCAATCGTGTAACAAACATGTTACGGATTCACCTAATGTTTTTTTCATTGCAATGTGAATAATCACTGGAAATGACTACCCAAAGTTTTTTAATACACTGCATTTGTTATCATTATTTTTCTAATTTAAAAAAAAAATACATACAGAAATCCTCGTTACTTCATGATGCTTAAGTTGAGATATAATTTTTCAGAAATGTCTTCAGTAACTGCAGGAAAAACACAGCCCACCCTTGATTTCACTTAATGTACAAATGTACCATGAAGCCATGTTTCATTATTTTCACATGCGGTCTGTGTTCTTAAAGAATATTCATATACTCCACTATTCCATTCTTCCTACAGAGTTACATCTGCCTAAGCAGTTAGTTGACTTGATGATATAAATCTTGAGCCGGGAGGGGTACAAGGCTATGACAGATTTTCTAGAGTCAATGAAAGGAATGTCTTGGCATTCCCTCCTCCGCTTGTATTGGAAGTGACTCGACCAGGTTGCATCCTTGAATTTTTCATTTTCTTATCTTGTATCTTTCAGGTACAACTATGAGAGAGATGCAGCAAACACACCAAGCAAGGGCGACAGCTGGATCAGTCTTTCGACAATTTTGAGCCATCAGGTCCAGTCCACGTAAACAGTGTCATGGGCGAGAGGTGTTCGTGTTCCTGTCACCAAAGCACCAAAGTAGGTATTTTTTCTATTCAATTATTACATCAGTTTAGTTCCTCTGTTTTCAGGTTCCCTTTCAGCTTGGAGATGAGGAGCCCGATGACCAACGACAAAACGGAGAAAACAGCTGCGTTCCTGCTACCTAAGTTAAGTATTCCTTCCTGGTTTTATTTTACATTGGGATAGGGGGGGGGCGCCTCCCAGTTTGATATTTACTGGTGGACTCACTAGACAAACAGGTTGGAATTAACACATAACAATCAGCGATTAATTTTTAAGAATAATCATTAATAACCAGACACAGTCTGATCCTGACCTAATTATAACTTTTAAAGGCTAGATACAATGGCAACAGGCATGGCCTTGCGATAATCACTTTTTTCTTTGCTGAATAACCGACCAACTGATTATCGTGACTGATTAAACTTCAAAGGGCTAATTACAAATGACACTGCTGGAATACAATCTCTTGTCTAAATAAAATGATCAACCTGTCTGTGATAAGAAGTATAAAGGAATTTAAAATGTATCTAATATATTATATAATTAGACAGACTGGCTATTCTAATCCGTTGTGAAAAGCCATTTGTTTTTTTCCACGACAGGATGTTTCTACGGAAGTTAATTTGTTTATCTTAGTGTTTAGAGGCATTGTCCCTTGACGCTTTTATGAAATAAATGAACTTTGTGATGGGCTACAATTGTATATTCTTACATTACATTATTTTCATTTTAGGTCTCTCTTATTACATGTACGAGTAGTTGCGCATTGCAGAAGTCTAATGTTATTCTCTCCGTGTGCCGAAAGTACCTGTAGCCAAGGGGTGGGGGTGGTTCAAGGAGTGCGAGTGAACAGAATTCGAATTGAATACAAAATACATACGTAACATATAAGTACATAATGTCTAGCCAAGTCTTCTTACATTTTCTGAACTTCAAATGCGCCTTTTGACGTGTGGTAACAAAATACAAAATAAATACTTATGTTTCTCCAGCTTGTTTTTATATTAATTTGGCAATAAAACATGCATAAAGAGATAACAAATTGTGCACAATCCGAATCCACTCCCCGATCGGGTCACGTTTACTGTGTATGTAATAATGTACAAAAGTAATGTAATAAAGACAATAATGCCTCCCCCCCTATTGCAACATTTTGTCAATTAATGGTATTAGCTCGCGATCGGAGCATCAACACACGTTTGATTGAAATAATTCAAATCAAGGTTTCAAATGAATAAAGATAATGAAGGTTCTGTTTGACATTCGAGAACAAGAATTTGTCCAGTCAAAAGTTGATATCTAAGATTTGATCTTGATACGATGTATTTATTGATCTTGTTTTTAAAACTACAGATGGTTCACTCAATTCTGAAGTAAACAAAAAATTAATCCTATACACGATTACTTGGTTCCCATGATGCTGCCTGTAACCTATAATACTCATTTATCAAAACAAATATTAATTAATCCGTCCGTCTGATTACATTTTGTTCCCTGGCTCAAACTAAGCAAACCCCAATTACAGTTCTTAATTCTTCACTTGAAACGATTTAGCCAACATGATACAATTTGAAATTTGATTAATTATACATGTATAAAGCCTATTGTTATCAAAACCCATAAATGCTCACAATATAAATATAGTTTATTGATGGCCAATAACAGATATCAGGGGCGTAGCCAGCTTTCAGTCAGGGGGAGTGCGATTGTCAAAAATATTTCGGTTTTCAGTCGGGGGGGGGGTGCGATTGTGATATAAACGGGGGGGGGGGATTATGACTTAAACAAGCCAAAAATGATTTTTATATTGAATTTTACAAAAACTGGATGCAAGTTCCTTCCAAAGTGAGCTAGAAGCTTCAAATAAAAAAGTATAATGTAAAGCTTTATTTAAAGTTTTTATGTAAAGTTTTATGTAAAATAACAACTACTACAACATGTTTTTATCTATCTGTAGCAGAGATGGTGAAGTTCCTGCGAAAAGACAGTCCCGTTGAAATCATATTTTTCTCCACGAGGGGACTAGGTCGAGTTTCCAGAACTTACAGTAGATGTCGCATTTTGACCAGTTTAATCTCTTGCAATCAGTTGCATCCCATTAGCAGGAGGCTGCTCCCAGTACTTTTCAAGTTTGTCTTGTCAAACAACCAGACAACCAACCAACCTGACATCCAACTGACCAACCAATGACCCAATAGGCTTAATTTTACCAACCAACTTACTTACTAACCAACCAACTAACCAACCAGACAACCACCCAATAGGTTAAAACTAACCAACCAATTAACTAATTAATCAACCAACTAACCAACACTCCACCCACCCACCCAACGAACCAAACAACCAACGAACCAGATGACCAAGATCATGGATCTAGTGCATAGTATTGTATTGTATTGTATTGTCCAGTTTTGTATTGTTTTGTTTTGTATTGTAATTAATTGTATTTTAATTTTGTATTAAATGTTACTTACTCGTCTTATGTATTTCTAGATTTTCTATTACATATAGGCAGCAAATAGCAAAATCTTTTTCCATCCTGAATTTTTCTATTTGGAGCTAACCGATACATACAATTTCCGTCGATTAAATACAATTTGAAAAAGGTCATACTTAATATTGCGATAAAATACAATATATACAACTACATTTGTCGCAATAATAGTCCTGATTAATTGTTTAAAATTGTTATCGATATAATTTTCAATTGTCATGAGTAATGTGCATTTATGTATGTTTTTATTGGCCATTTCGACATATAATTACTGTAAATCTGTTAAACAGGTTTAAATATATAAAGTCTATGAGTGATTCTGACATAAAGCAATGTTTGAAATGCACACGGTCTAATCACACAAACAATTGTCCTTTATACTGTAGTACATATGAACATCATGAACTTCGAGATATGCCCGTACAAAGGGAAGAATAAATTAAGAAAAACAATGACCGATGTTTTAAACAATTGAATTGTATTAATACCAATGCATCAGTACCAAAAGGAAATGACAAACAAATCAACCCAAACTTTCCCAAATCATGATCTAACGACATAAGAAAAATAATGTGTAATATCCGTTTCCATACAATTCACGTACTATCACTACTCTCCTTTCGAAAACAGTATGATCCAAATTATTATTTAAAAGACCAGGAAGTATTACCTTCTGAATTAAATATGCGTAATAAATATACAATTGAAAAAGAGAAAACGCTCCCACGAACACGCACACGCTAAATGTCATTTTAACCTTATGTAGTTTTATATAAAAATGACATAAAATTGTCGAAGCATGACGAATAACACGAAAAATAAATATCTTAAATCAAAAAAGCATAACTGTAATTATTTCAACATAACAATGAACATGCTAAGTGTGTATTATGCAATGTTTACCATCTTCAATCTACTTTCAGTAATATTTTTCAATGTTTTTTGTAATCACTTTGCCAGAACGTTTCTTCATTAACTACAGCAATAAGCAGAGCTGAGAATGCAGTTTGGTGTGTTTGGTTTGCTTGATGAATTGATATTGCCGATCTTGTTCTTCCAGCACCTGTAACATGTTGTTTTATTTTATTAATGTATAGTTAGACATAAGTACTTTGGATATAAACGGTACCGACTGGGCTTAAACTGTTGACATCGATTCAAATAGCTAATTTCTCGAATCCCACGTAAACGAGTTTTTTTCAAAATTTGGAGGAACTTTGAATTTATGACAGAAATTGAAACGAAGGCTCCAATTTATCTATGGCGAAAAAAATTCACTATTCATGAGCCCATTCCGAACATTTCAGATTATACCTCAGCAGGCACTAGCAAAAATCCTGGATTTATCCAGAGGGATATAGGCATATCTACCTAAGGGACCGTAGGGACGAAGGATAAACCACATATCCAAACCGACTGTACATAACTGCTTTATCCTATACTCAGTGGAGTTTTCTAATGTTAACCTAATTTTTCAACATTTTTCCCACGTTTATCTAATCTGATAAAAAAATTAAAACATTCTTTCAATTTGTTTCCAAAGTGGGAAGATATGCCCTCGAGCGGGAGATATGTAGGTTCTGGACATTGAAACCTCAAAATCAGGATACGGAATAAATCTTACGGTACTAATGCATCTCCCTAAAACTGGGCACTGGGCATAGGACAAACATACCTTCGACCATACGAGTAAATCAATTCATTTACAAAGATTTCGCAATTCACTTATAGCATGTTTACAAATCACCTGTGTTTATAACTTATAAATTTGCCGCGCAGCTATATCTCGCAGGGTTTCTAGTTATACTTCATTTGCAAAATAAGGCGAAGTTATTAAATGTTGAAATCCTGACTTAGTAGGGAATTGATTGAACTTACCCATTACTCAAATAGTTTTCTACTTGTGTGATTGTTGCTCCCGGGTTCACGCTCAAATAACACGCTACGACACCAGCCTAAACATATAATGTAAGGATATTCAAATGATTCTACGATAACGTTAACTATAATTACCTCAAAGGATTACCCGTCTTTCCTGGTAACTTAATTTGTACCTATATAAAACTATTTTCAGTATACCTTAATAGTCAGTTGATCAAGACAAAATTACAAAATGAAGAACTAAACCCAGAGAACAATTATATACAAACTCAAATCCCTTTTAAAACACAAGATCGACCTAAACATTATATCAAATACCGTGATACTTTAAAATGTCCATAAAAAAAAACATTTTAATTGTCGTGAAATCAACAAATGAAATCAACACAATCACCACGAAGACCCGACATCAGGTAATTGGTATATGGCTATATCATGGTGAATTAAAATTACCAAGGACAGTAACGGATTCCGACTAGATTGCATTTTTATCAGAGTCCAACATCATAATTGAAGATCAACTTATCATGCTCTCAATATTTGCAGAAAACTGACAGATTCAAAAGCTCTGTTATCAAGATTGTCAACATCAGGTAAAAAGAAATAAATCGTTGTCCATAGATCATATTGTATGTTGAATGGAAATTCCGTCCTGTTCAGGTAATTCGACTTTGCATACACCTAAATATGGCCACATACTTATCTCTTCACCATTAAAGATATACTCTTTTTTTTAAATCTTGCTTATATGACTTCTAAAACAAAAACCACGGTGAAAATGTGACAACATAACACATCCAAATCAAAAATATTAATGGTACCAAGTTTGTCCGAGAGTGTTACATGCTATTGAGAACAAAATCAATATATTTAAATCAACTCCAATATAATATCTCCTAAAATATCAGCGGTATATTATTAATTTGTAGACAGTTTAACTGCTAAATTCGCTATTTTGTGATTTCGTCTATGTCATAATTGTGGTTATAACATTTATCGAGGAAAGCACACAATTGATTATAATAGATATGTGTACTTACGACATGTGGGGCAGACATAGATGTTCCTAAAAATACATCAAAGTTTCCACACTATATTTGGAAATAAGTGAGTTGTCAAAGTAAATGAAAGATTGAATTTATCTGAATTGTTTTAGCGAAATATACACTCGTCCGATATATTCGACTTGACTTAGTTGAAATAATTTAATTTAAAAATTGAGATCATCATGCGATCAAGAGATAAAGTATCGTTAGTATAAATTTTAAATAGGACGTAAAAGCCTATTCATATTTGGATCTTTCTTTGTTCTTTGTACAATATTTTGGAATGGAGCATGTAGGTTATTGCAAACAATTTCAGACGATCCTAACTTGAATTATACATATGTTCTGATCATGAACAAAGGTGTAGCGTTTAGACCAATTCATTATCTCCAAAAAGTGTTAATTTAATGATAATAAAGTTAATCAGACTAAAATGCAAAAATGCAACCTTTCATTATAATGTCGAATGCATGATTAGAATGTGCTCTGAGAAATGTTCTATTTGCTATAAGGAAATATGAATTGCTCCAGGGACTTCAAAGATGTTGAATTTGTATGACCAAAGATGAGCTAAAACCAATGAATAGCATGATATTTTTCAATGAGGAAATAACGTGGGTAACACTAATCTTAAGCAATTCAGGTTTCCTTTCAAGAACTAATTGATACATCTAAATAAATAAAAGTAATGCATTAAACATTGTAAAAAAGGATTTTATTGATGACTATGAGGCTGACATCTTTGAAAAAGTATGTTGATGGGATGGTTGCTTGCTAAATATCTCAGAGTCCGATTAACTTTATTATCATTGTATACACTTTTCTTTGAGATCATGAATTAATCTAAAAAGTAAACCTGTCTTCTTCATGGTTAGAAAATAGCAATTATCCAAGATATGAGCGTCTGAAATTGTTGTTGATAACCTACGTGACCTTTTATAAGTAGTTTGAAGATTTTCTTTCAAATCGCCAAAATAAACGGGCTTTAACACACGATCCATGTATGGTGACCTCCCATTGCCAAACTTGTGTGTGATTCTATCATTAAAAAAGATCGACTCATTCTTATTTTTTGATACTCAGTTTTTATTCTTAATTTTATGCAACGCAGGACACAATGACAAAGATAGAAGTTTACAATACCTGATAATTCACCGTGACTGGTACTACTGTCTTTTGTGGCACTTCTTATCTTATAGCCCTAAATGTCAACATGGAAATATGAATTTGTACACACAATTCAGTGGTTTCAGTAACTTTTTTTACAAGAGGCAGATGAGAAATACAAGGGGCGGCATTCAAAATAACCAATTTTACACTCCCGGAAATGCAAATTCTTGTTATTCACTGGTGATCTGCTCGATTACGCTGGTTACCGAAACGGCGAAATGTTGGAACGGCGAAGGTACGATTTTTCTTTTTTCCTTCTTTCACGCGTTGTAGGCAGAATCCCAACGACATTTTTTCTCACAAACTAGTATCAGCACCATATGTTTTAGAAAATGTACATGTTTGTGAAAAATTAGGTCAGAAGACAACAGAATCGTAGATTTAATTTCTCACTTAAGTGACATAAACGGTTTTGGTTAAAAGAGCAGATCTTAACTGTTTTTCGAAAAAACCGTTTATGTAACTTAAGTGAGGAATTAAATAGACGATTCTGTTGTCTTCTGAACTATTTATTCAAAAATATGTACATTTTCTTAAACAAAGGATACTGCTACACGTTTGTGTAAGAAATGTCGTGGAAATTCTGCCTACAATGTGTGAAATAAGGAAAAAGAAAAAACGTATATTCGATGTTCCGACATTTTGTTACCAAAACGAATTCAAATGCACTTCCCGGGTTAAACACTCAATATAGAATGCAACCTGTGTGAATAGAATGCAACCTGTGTGTATACAATGTACAGGGCGTTCAATAAGTACTGATAAAATGATGTGACTTTTTTAATCTCCCCCTAAAACTAAAGACAATATTTGGCTTCTGACAACCGGCGAATTATAGAAAACAAACGGCGATTTTGGACTCTCGCCCCCTGCTATAAAATATGAATTTAAAATAAGTCAGCTTGTAGTTTTCATAAACGAACGCTTCATCTTATATCAAAGCCATTGAGCAATTGAACATAAAACTATATACTAAAATTTCTAAACATTATTTTAATCATTGTGTCTCTGAATTATGTTTGTGAAGAGTTGTAATTTTCTCCCCTGGCCGAACCTTGGTTAAGCCAATGCTATGTGCATATTATGTCCATCGTGTCACCAATCTGTGAAAATAATTTTACTTGTGACCTCACTTTTATTTTGTCAAATGATGTTTAAAGGAGGAGAGAACGCAACAGATTCCGGACAGTCAGAGAATAGCCACAATCCAACATATGACTGTCCGACATCTGTTGCGATATTTTCCCTCATCCTTTGGAGAATATCATTTTGGCCTATGTTGTGCTAAGGGACCTACATGCATATCGTGTCACAATCATTGGAACAACCATTTCACACTTCACTCTTATTTTGTCAAATTACATTAAATGTTTATAAGCGTCACTTTGGCCGTATGTAGTACCTACCGGGGCTGCCATGTCTATACCAGAACCGTAATTTGAGTCCGAACTGAGGTTATCATCTGCCTTTACGTTGGCAACAGTCCACCTGGAACAGTATAGTTAATCGGTATAAAGTAATACCTAATCGATTTCTAATCCAAAATTGAGCATATTTGATAAAAACATGTGTATGACCATGTACTGTACTGGTCCAGGAGTTAAAAAGCACTACAATCTCTGGGGGAATATTGCTTGCGAAAGGTGCACAGGTATAAGGTAAAATATTGATTTTACTATTTACTGCTTATATTCCCCACTTTCAATACCTTCATTGATGTTTTTGTTGCCTTAACTGTGTTATGCAAATGGATATCACAGCAAATCTCATTTGCTAGTTACATGTAAGACATACACAAACAGATAGTAAAACATATGACAGTTTCATGAATATTAATATTATAAATTTATACATACACTGTCGGTTCCCGAGCAGGCGATAACGTTGACCAGAGAGCATTAGAATTCCCAGCAGCAACAGTTACAAATATACCCTAAAATAAAGACCTAATTTAGAATACCGATGATATTAAAAAAATAAAAACAAGGCATTACCATTACATTACCTCACTTTAGTTACAGAAACGGTATTCCGAAAAACAGTTAAGAAACAATTGTAACAATTCGAGGTAAAATATTAAGTCAGAAAAAAAGCCGTGACCATACCAATATGTCATAATTGTGGTGACAATGCTTTTCTTTATTTCAGATTATTTTTATAGGAATATCATTAAGCTCAATACATCGTTTTAGATCTAGATTAACCACTTGAATATCTATAGCAACAAAAACAGTAGTTGCAGAATTTATCAAGACATGATAATGACTTTAATTTTGATTTCTATCTGATTTGCACTTAAAACCCCCTTGATAAGTTTGACTTACAACCCCCTTAATAATTTTGACTTACAACCCCCTTAATAACTTCGACTTACAACCCCCTTAATAAGTTCGACTTACAACCCCTTAATAAGTTAGACTTACAACCCCCTTAATAAATTTGACTTACAACCCCCTTAATAAGTTTGACTTACTACCCCCTTAATAAGTTTGACTTACAACCCCCTTAATAAGTTCGACTTACAACCCCCTTAATGAGTTTGACTTACAACCCCCTTAATAAGTTTGACTTACAACCCCCTTAATAAGTTCGACTTAAAACCCCCTTAATAAGTTCGACTTACAATCCCCTTAATAAGTTAGACTTACAATCCCCTTAATAAGTTTGACTTACAACCCCCTTAATAAGTTTGACTTACAACCCCCTTAATAAGTTTGACTTACAACCCCCTTAATAAGTTTAACTTACAACCCCCTTAATAAGTTTGACTTACAACCCCCTTAATAAGTTCGACTTACAACCCCCTTAATAAGTTCGACTTACAACCCCCTTAATAAGTTTGACTTACAACCCCCTTAATAAGTTCGACTTACAACCCCCTTAATAAGTTCGACTTACAACCCCCTTAATAAGTTTGACTTACAACCCCCTTAATAAGTTTGACTTACAACCCCCTTAATAAGTTTGACTTACAACCCCCTTAATAAGTTTGACTTACAACCCCCTTAATAAGTTCGACTTAAAACCCCCTTAATAAGATCGACTTACAATCCCCTTAATAAGTTTGACTTACAACCCCCTTAATCAGTTTGACTTACAACCCCCTTAATAAGTTCGACTTAAAACCCCCTTAATAATTTCGACTTACAATCCCCTTAATAAGTTAGACTTACAATCCCCTTAATAAGTTTGACTTACAACCCCCTTAATAAGTTCGACTTAAAACCCCCTTAATAAGTTTGACTTACAATCCCCTTAATAAGTTTGACTTACAATCCCCTTAATAAGTTAGACTTACAATCCCCTTAATAAGTTTGACTTACAACCCCCTTAATAAGTTCGACTTACAACCCCCTTAATAAGTTCGACTTACAACCCCCTTAATAAGTTTGACTTACAACCCCCTTAATAAGTTTGACTTACAACCCCCTTAATAAGTTCGACTTAAAACCCCCTTTATAAGTTCGACTTACAATCCCCTTAATAAGTTAGACTTACAATCCCCTTAATAAGTTCGACTTACAACCCCCTTAATAAGTTTGACTTACAACCCCCTTAATAAGTTTGACTTACAACCCCCTTAATAAGTTCGACTTAAAACCCCCTTAATAAGTTCGACTTACAACCCCCTTAATAAGTTCGACTTACAACCCCCTTAATAAGTTCGACTTAAAACCCCCTTAATAAGTTCGACTTACAATCCCCTTAATAAGTTTGACTTACAACCCCCTTAATAAGTTCGACTTACAACCCCTTAATAAGTTAGACTTACAACTCCCTTAATAAATTTGACTTACAACCCCCTTAATAAGTTCGACTTACTACCCCCTTAATGAGTTTGACTTACAACCCCCTTAATAAGTTCGACTTAAAACCCCCTTAATAAGTTCGACTTACAATCCCCTTAATAAGTTAGACTTACAATCCCCTTAATAAGTTCGACTTAAAACCCCCTTAATAATTTCGACTTACAATCCCCTTAATAAGTTAGACTTACAATCCCCTTAATAAGTTTGACTTACAACCCCCTTAATAAGTTTGACTTACAACCCTCTTAATAAGTTCGACTTAAAACCCCCTTAATAAGTTCGACTTACAACCCCTTACTAAGTTTGACTTACAACCCCCTTAATAAGTTTGACTTACAACCCCCTTAATAAGTTTGACTTACAACCCCCTTAATAAGTTCGACTTAAAACCCCCTTAATAAGTTCGACTTACAACCCCCTTAATAAGTTTGACTTACAACCCCCTTAATAAGTTTGACTTACAACCCCCTTAATAAGTTTGACTTACAACCCCCTTAATAAGTTTGACTTACAACCCCCTTAATAAGTTCGACTTAAAACCCCCTTAATAAGATCGACTTACAATCCCCTTAATAAGTTTGACTTACAACCCCCTTAATCAGTTTGACTTACAACCCCCTTAATCAGTTTGACTTGCAACCCCCTTAATAAGTTCGACTTACAACCCCCTTAATAAGTTCGACTTAAAACCCCCTTAATAAGTTCGACTTACAACCCCCTTAATAAGTTCGACTTACAACCCCCTTAATAAGTTTGACTTACAACCCCCTTAATAAGTTTGACTTACAACCCCCTTAATAAGTTTGACTAACAACCCCCTTAATAAGTTCGACTTACAACCCCCTTAATAAGTTTGACTTACAACCCCCTTAATAAGTTTGACTTACAACCCCCTTAATAAGTTTGACTAACAACCCCCTTAATAAGTTTGACTTACAACCCCCTTAATAAGTTCGACTTACAACCCCCTTAATAAGTTCGACTTACAACCCCCTTTATAAGTTCGACTTACAATCCCCTTAATAAGTTAGACTTACAATCCCCTTAATAAGTTCGACTTACAACCCCCTTAATAAGTTCGACTTACAACCCCCTTTATAAGTTCGACTTACAATCCCCTTAATAAGTTAGACTTACAATCCCCTTAATAAGTTCGACTTACAACCCCCTTAATAAGTTCGACTTACATCCCCCTTAATAAGTTTGACTTACAACCCCTTAATAAGTTTGACTTACAACCCCCTTAATAAGTTCGACTTACAATCCCCTTAATAAGTTAGACTTACAATCCCCTTAATAAGTTCGACTTACAACCCCCTTTATAAGTTCGACTTACAATCCCCTTAATAAGTTAGACTTACAATCCCCTTAATAAGTTCGACTTACAACCCCCTTAATAAGTTTGACTTACAACCCCCTTAATAAGTTTGACTTACAACCCCCTTAATAAGTTTGACTTACAATCCCCTTAATAAGTTTGACTTACAACCCCCTTAATAAGTTTGACTTACAACCCCCTTAATAAGTTCGACTTACAACCCCCTTAATAAGTTCGACTTACAACCCCCTTAATAAGTTCGACTTAAAACCCCCTTAATAATTTCGACTTACAATCCCCTTAATAAGTTAGACTTACAATCCCCTTAATAAGTTTGACTTACAACCCCCTTAATAAGTTTGACTTACAACCCCCTTAATAAGTTTGACTTACAATCCCCTTAATAAGTTTGACTTACAACCCCCTTAATAAGTTTGACTTACAACCCCCTTAATAAGTTTGACTTACAACCCCCTTAATAAGTTTGACTAACAACCCCCTTAATAAGTTTGACTTACAACCCCCTTAATAAGTTCGACTTAAAACCCCCTTAATAAGTTCGACTTACAATCCCCTTAATAAGTTTGACTTACAATCCCCTTAATAAGTTAGACTTACAATCCCCTTAATAAGTTTGACTTACAACCCCCTTAATAAGTTCGACTTACAACCCCCTTAATAAGTTCGACTTACAACCCCCTTAATAAGTTTGACTTACAACCCCCTTAATAAGTTCGACTTAAAACCCCCTTAATAATTTCGACTTACAATCCCCTTAATAAGTTAGACTTACAATCCCCTTAATAAGTTTGACTTACAACCCCCTTAATAAGTTTGACTTACAACCCCCTTAATAAGTTTGACTTACAACCCCCTTAATAAGTTCGACTTAAAACCCCCTTAATAAGTTCGACTTACAATCCCCTTAATAAGTTTGACTTACAATCCCCTTAATAAGTTAGACTTACAATCCCCTTAATAAGTTCGACTTACAACCCCCTTAATAAGTTCGACTTAAAACCCCCTTTATAAGTTCGACTTACAATCCCCTTAATAAGTTAGACTTACAATCCCCTTAATAAGTTCGACTTACAACCCCCTTAATAAGTTTGACTTACAACCCCCTTAATAAGTTTGACTTACAACCCCCTTAATAAGTTCGACTTAAAACCCCCTTAATAAGTTCGACTTACAATCCCCTTAATAAGTTCGACTTACAATCCCCTTAATAAGTTAGACTTACAATCCCCTTAATAAGTTTGACTTACAATCCCCTTAATAAGTTTGACTTACAATCCCCTTAATAAGTTTGACTTACAACCCCCTTAATAAGTTTGACTTACAACCCCCTTAATAAGTTTGACTTACATCCCCCTTAATAAGTTTGACTTACAACCCCTTAATAAGTTTGACTTACAACCCCCTTAATAAGTTCGACTTAAAACCCCCTTAATAAGTTTGACTTACAACCCCCTTAATAAGTTCGACTTACAATCCCCTTAATAAGTTAGACTTACAATCCCCTTAATAAGTTCGACTTACAACCCCCTTTATAAGTTCGACTTACAATCCCCTTAATAAGTTAGACTTACAATCCCCTTAATAAGTTCGACTTACAACCCCCTTAATAAGTTTGACTTACAACCCCCTTAATAAGTTTGACTTACAACCCCCTTAATAAGTTTGACTTACAATCCCCTTAATAAGTTTGACTTACAACCCCCTTAATAAGTTTGACTTACAACCCCCTTAATAAGTTCGACTTACAACCCCCTTAATAAGTTCGACTTACAACCCCCTTAATAA